GTCAAGTCCTACAGAAGAAACAGAGAAGATCGGAGTTGACATTCCTGATATTTCTAAGAAAAAAAATAAGTGGGGGAATAAACTTGAGAACTAAAACACTATTTTGGCCATCCATATGCATCAGAAAAGAGTTTATAAAGAGAACATTTAAAAAAAGTATATTTTCGTCCCCTTTCATTTCTCCTAAGAAGGGGTATCCTGACTCGTTCCTGATCATTTCTCACTGTTTTAAGGGAATTCCTATACATTGAAATGCAAATTCCAGAGGCAGTTTTTTTTTCTTTGTCAAGTTAAAGAACTTTCAGTATGTTTGTACAGTGAGGGACCTGAATCTCTTGTTGCAGGTAACAGTAGTTCCTACTGAATTCCTGGGTATGTGCACATGAACAGACTTTCTATTACATTAACCACAGTGATGTTATGCTGTATTCATAATAATGTACCTACAAGTATCCCTTAGCTGTCCAGAGCCACTAACAAATAGTAGGATAGCACACTGGGGAGGTAGATTACTAGTTCCTTAGTATTTTGGGGAATGGAAGATGAAGGGCCATTGAGTTAGGCTCACACCTCACAAAGGATGACTGAACCCAAGGATCTTTTTTACAGTCAAAAAGTAAGAAGGTCTTGGAATACTGTTGTAAAGACAAGATGTAGGAAAAGGAGGTACAAACCAGTTACTTGCCCAAGATAATCTAGGAAGTTTGTGGCAGAGCTAGAATATTACCTGATATCACTTAAGCCCTGCCTCGATGGATGAAAAAGGTGTATGTTTCAGTCCAGTTATCTCAATCAAGTTAGTTTAATATGATTAAAAGGCCTTTTAATGCTCATTAAGTTGAGAGAAAACATAATTCACTGTTTAGGCTGTTAGTTTAGGATTTAGGCAATATTGCTGCATCCACACAAGCATGCATATGCATTTTGTGGTGCCTCAAAGGCTTTTGAGGTACCACATAATGCACCCCGCATACATGATTTGGTTCTTTGCCAAATTTAGATACTAGGAAATCCCAGTATCAAAAAAGCATGTGGAAAAAAAGTGGGGTGGCGCACATGGCAGCAGTGTCTGCTGTCTGAAACCAGAGCCTAGCTAGCCAGAGACAAGCTCCAGGTGCCGGCCAGGCTCCCCGCACCCAGGTCACCACCACTGGAGCCCCAGGAGGCCCCCAGGACTCCAGGTAAGGCTGTTGGGGCCAGTCCAGGTGCTAGCCCCAGCCTCCCCTACCCCCACCTGAAGCATTTTTCCCTGTGCTAACCCCATGTGCAGGGGCATGCACTGGAGCAAAAAGCAGTGGCACAAATTTGTGCCACTACTTTTTTTCCCATGGCAACCACACACCCCTGCTCATGGGTGTGACCTGGGGATAAATGACTTACTTCCTTGTGCATTCATTCCCCATTTGTGTAACGAAGAAAATGGATAGATGGCTAATGTTTTTAAAGCTATGTTGTAGACCAGGGTTGGGGGGTGGGGAAGCCTATATTCATTTAATGGCGTCACTTATGATTTATGTCAGTGTAAGTTTGATTTCAGTTGGACCCCTTGCCTTACATGCCTTCTTTGTCACAATACATTAATGGGAAATGAATAACTGGTGTCTCATTTAAAATTAATGGCAGGTGGAGTATAAAGGGATAAGTGATCAGTTCCTGTTTTCTCTTCCTTTCAAACTTAATCAAATGTAATAAAAGGGTTTTGGAGAGCAGCAATACTGAGGAGGACGAAGAATTACTTCAGATAGTACAAGGCAAAGCTAGAAGTAATTGGATAACAGTAAGAAAAGGAAAGTTTAAGGCAACAGTCAGATGTGTTAGGATGTGGAATATTCTTGCTGGGTCAAGGACTTTTAAAACTAGAGCAGAGCACACTAGAATCTAAAGTTACAATATGGAAGTAGTCTGCTGTGCAGGGATAAACTAAGTGATTTAATACATCATTTCCATTCTAACAATTGTGACATGTATTTCCATCTACATAATCCATATTCATAATACCAGATTCATCCCATCAATTTTAAGCAATGAGAATGTTTTGTAATCACTGCAGGTGTAAACTGATTTATACTGGCTAAAAATCTTGACCCTATTTTTTATTTTTACTAGCTCTTGAATTAACTTGTAAGCTTCATCCTAATCAGATCCTGGAAGTATACACCATGAAAACTTTGTTTAATAAATTATTTGTGAAGAAAACAATATTGGGATTAGTAGAAATTACAGAAAAAGTGCACCACTTTAAGATGAATCCATAACTTTTGTGCCCCACCTGCATTTATTGGTTCTCCAGGGTTACATACTATGGAGCATAAATGACTAGAAACCCAATGAGTTTTTGTTTCATATTCTAACCCCACAGGGTTACATTCCATTTATACTTTATGTTTTTCTACTTCAGAGACCCAGTGAGTCTTGACTGAATTTAGACAGAGAAGTTTAGTCAAATTACTGTGGTTCTCTAGGGTTACCACTTATCCTGATTTGATATACAGAGTCTGTTATGGAAAGGTAACAGTTGTAGCTGCAATATGTTAGATTGTAAGCAATTAATATAGTTTTAGTGACTTTTCAGTGGCAAAATATATGGCTTCTTTAAATATAGAAACAAATGTTATAACAGCATTCTGGCCTGTGCTGAAACTATTCAAAGATGGGAAATTCAGATGTAAGGCTGAAAGTCTGTTCAAACTCCAGCTTTTTGTTCCTAGGTATTGAATGAATGTCTACAGCATGAGTGAGCATATAATTCATGACATATATATGTATGCTGCAAAATTGTAGAGCACAAATGGATGGAAGAATGACAAGGTCTCAGGATTAACTAACTTCCCTAGCTTTTGTTAGTTTAAAAGTACCATTAGTATATCAATTTTAAAGTAACTTTAACTCAGTTTATAAAACGGCCCACTGACTTGTGTGTGCAGTTTTTTCTTCTGTATTGTGCATCTATATATATGTGCTTAAATGGGAGTTTAGCTTACTAAATATTGAGTGTACTGCCAAAATCTGTTCCTTCCATGTACAGATTAGTCATGTCTGCCTGCATTACCTCCACATGACACTCAGAGCACCACCATGAAGCATAGCTTGTCTACTCACTTCCATGGGCCAAATCTTGGAAATGAAATAATGTAGTTGCTTTAGGGCAACACTGATTGTGTACCAATAATCATGTCTAACAGAGTTACCAACCCAAGGCATTTTTTTTTTTTACTATCTGCAAACTTTTTACTGACAACCAGACTTTTTATTCACTTTTTTAGCAATATTGTGGATAGGATTGATAATATGTAAGTGATAATGTTATGGATAACGGCCACTTTATTTTATATATATAGTATTCGCTAGAGGTAGGCCTAGCTTACAAGCTACAAGATGTAGATCTTGAATCCCCACAAAGTGTTGTGTATTAGATTGTAATGCTTATAATGATTATAATAATTCTTTACACTTATGTTTGTCCACAACAGTGGTTCTCAACTTTTTAGTCTCATGGTACCCCTTATTAGACTCAAACCACCTTTCAGAAAATAACAGCTCTTAGCTGTCACTTGTTTTTTGAGTATGGAAAAATAATAGAGCAATTTTTATGTTGCCAACAACTCAGAAAGCCAAAATAGGTTAGGATGCTGTGGAATTTCACTTGAAATCTCTGGGTTTATCTTGTAAATAATGTGTAGCTGTTTGCACACCTAACCATGGTCATATTACATGGAACCCTCAAAAGGATCTTGCAGCTGGATTGGACCATGCCAGAGCCAGCATGCAGGGCCAGTCCAGTGGGGAGTGCATGCAGTTCCTGTGGTGCTGAGTTAAGCCTGCGCACTTCAGGCAGCACAAGCCCCAGAATGGGGCTGGCATGGGGCTCCGGCATGCACAGATTGCCTGGGGCCAATCTAGACTGACTCTGGAGCCAGCATGCATGGCTGGTCTGGTGGGGTACTGTGCCAAGTCCAGGCTGTGCCAGATTGGTTCTCCCTGCTGCATGTGGCTTGTCATCATATGGCTTTATGGACTAGATCTGGCCCATGGGGCTTATGCTTGACACCCCTAGTTTACATGTTTCCCATGGATTTCTCTCAAACTTGTCTCAAAGTGCATTGCAGATATTAGATGCCAGGTTGTGACCTCAACAACTACACCCTTGCAAAGGGGAACAAGAGGGCATAACAAGCCTCTTCACTCCCTTGAGTAGGCTAGGCCTGTGGCTTGCAACATTTTGGAGCCATGGGCTGGAACAACCTGGCTCAGGTCTGGGACAGGCCAGTGTTCTGACCCAGCCTCTGCTGCTTCTTCTGGCTCTTGTGCAGGCACAGCTCCTTGCTGCTCAGTTCTGGTGCAGCTCCCTGTCACCTGGCGCCTGCACAGAAAAAGCTCCCTGCTGCTGGAATATCTAGGGGTAGGTTCATTTTCATGCATCCAATACTGATTGGTAAAAGCAATTTTGAATACAATTACTATTTTCCTTGCAGTGCTGTGTAGGTGGACCCTTGACTCTACCTCATCAATGTGCACCCTTGCAGCTGAGCTGGTATGCCGGGGCAAGTATAGCACTGGCACAGATTAGTCTTGTCCCAGAGCAGGTCGGGAATTAGGAGCCAGATTGTGACTGAAATACAATTTGAATTTCTGTTTACTTCTGGGCAGTGTACCTATTAGTTATGCTTCTTCAGGGTTTATAGCAAAGCTGCAATGAATTAAGATTTACAACACTTGTAAGTAAGGAACTGTTGTATAGATAGGGAAACTGAGTTATATAAGCCTTCAAGATAACATAAAGGAAATTTCTGGAGGAGCTTAGAGCAGAACCTCAAATACCTGATTACGAATGATGAATTTTAGCCCCAAGATCATGATTTGCATTGACTATAGTGGAAACGTTAGCTGTCTTAATGCTGCATACATTTTTGCCATCTGAGACTGAATGTACCATGAAGACTGGATTAATGAAAGATCAGCAATTTTCCACAGGCAGGATTGCATTAATATTTAAGAAATGCATTGCTAAAATGATGAAATGAAAAAAAACCAAACCTGTGTGGCTTGTACATCTGAAAATGAAGTAAGAGTGTTGAATGTGCACAGAATGCAGGATTGAGCCCCAAGCAAGTAACTTTCTGTTAAGAAGAAAGGGGAATGGAAAAGCATACTTCTTACGCCAAATTTTACCCCATAATGAATAATTATGGCTAAGTTGTAAACCCCTTAAAAGCTATGAGGCACCATTGTAATGAAACACATAACTGAAATTTACTGTACATATATACATTGCGAGCATACTCTTGAATATTTAGCCCTTGACTTCTTAAATTTGCAGTTTCCACAGAGGACTTGTAAGTGTTAGAATTTTGATAAACTATCTCAAACAAACTACTGCTGTTGTTATCACTATAAATCTCCCTAACCTAAGAGATTTAAGGTGACTGATATTTTCTGTGGAAACTCATGATTTAGAAGGGTATATATGCTGTATGGCTTATGTACAGTCTCTTGCAATTATATAGAAAGTCCTAGGCTAAGTTTCCATTTGTTAGGTCTTATTTGTTTATTATTGCTTTTTCTTAGGGTTTTTTGTATTGTGTTTATGGTATGCATTTTTTAAAAACATATTGCCTTTTAATTCTGGTTGGCCTTACTGCCATTAAGATAGCCCTTCACAGTGCAGATCATTCACTGTTGTCTTCTTTAGCCAGCCTGAAGGAATAGTACTTAGACGTGATCCAAAACCCTTTCAAGACAGTGAGCCTTTCTCACTGAGGGGACAACATCTTGCATTTACTGGAAGGAAGGGCTGTCTTGAAGTAAACTTTCGGAAAACAGAGCAATATCCCTGAAAGGTCAAAGGTTTGCCCAAGCTGATATGGTTCATCAGGTTAGCATGGCTAGGGCACACTAGCCCAGATGTTTGAGTATCTATTTTATTTATGGCTGCCTAGATTAAGAACAGGATCATGTGAGCATGGAGCAAGTCTTTGGATCCATAAAAAATGCCTTAATTACTCCGCTCCCCAGCCTGTCTCTGGTAAGAAGGGGCAACAAATATGGGGCAAATAACTGCAGCCAGGGGACTTGAGTTCTGGAAATCTGGCTGACTAGATACTGAGGCCTTCTCTGTAAACACAAGGTGTAACACTTTGTAACTACCCTGGCACCGTTAAGCATGCTGGAACAGCTCATCTGGTATGGATACTGAGTGGTCTAATAATGGTACAGCTTATTTCTGTATGAAAAGCAGAACACTGGTATAACTGCACACATGCCAAAAGTTTTAAAAAATCAAGCTGAGTAGTTTTATGAATTATCACTAATTAACTGATTCTAACTGAAATACGTGATTTTTGGAAGATATACTGTTTACAAATGAGATCTTTGATATGAAGGAGGGATTTACTGTGAAGGAGGTTGGGGGCTGACTAGAGTCAATGTTATGCCCTGAAGTCTTATGTGAAGAGAGAAGCCAATCTTCACAGACGTTACCTGTAGGAAGGGAGATAAAGGCAAAATTTTCTATGTACCTTGTTTGCACTTAGATAGATTACAGTGAATCAGATGTTCAGGAACATCTGTCTTGATCTTCACACATTAGAAAACAACTGTGTTCTTCTCTGCTCACATATCTGTTAGTACAACTGCTTCTTCAGGTGTGTGGGCATCTAACTTATTCAGTAAAAATCATAATACTGTCAAAGTATTAAGTAAAAACATTGGAAAAAAGGAACTGGTTATGAGAGTATTGTCATGGAGCTGCAGGCAGACTCAGAAGGATTCTTGGGCTCCGCTGAAGGTTGGGTGGGGGGGGGGCAGGGAGGTCTGGGGG